ACTCCTTAACGCATTTAAAGTAGGGGAATTTCAGATGTTACCGGTTGACAACGGCGTGCGACGTTGTATGATTTGAATAAACATTTTCAAATAAATAACATGTGTCGATTCATTTTGTTATTTTTAGCTGTGAGTGGTCTTGATAATTTATTGACAACATTGTCAGTCCTTGTTCTACGACGTTATCCTAAATATAACGTAAAAAACCTATAGGAACACTTTTTGTGTTTTGTTTTAAATCAACTTAAAGAAGCATTAACGTTATTCATATAATTTTTTGTTTGGCAGATAATGTAATTTGCCATCCTAACTTTATTTTTTGATACTGCTACGATTAGTGGAAGAATTTGTAATTGAAATACCTTTAAACATGAAGCTACAAAGAAAATTAGCAGGTAATAAAAGTTCGGGTTTCCTCTCACCACAGCGAAATCGGTTCCGAATATTTAAATTTTATCAGTGGTTTAAATAATTATTAGCACGCCACTGTACAGCATATCATTGAGGTATTCGAAATTTTTAATTATAAAAATAAGCTAATCGAAAGATATAACAATTGTTAATAAAATTGATTTAACGAAAAATAAAAATTTCTGTTTGCACGCCACTGTACAGCATATCATTGAGGTATTCGATATTTTTAATCACAGTAAATACGCTGGCTGAGAGGTATGACAATTGCTAAAAAAATTCACCGGTAAGAACGATTCGGGATGGTTTAGAACGAAAAAGTTGAGAAAATGAATATGGTTATGTTAAATAAACAATATTTTAAAAACAAAGGCAAATATCAAAATTTTGAGAAAGCGGTTTCTTAATAATATGTAAATGATTAAAGTGAACTAAACAAATGAAACTTCAAATGATTATTTTTAAAATTATGCACCTTTGAATGTAAAATTGGGTGAGCCATTAATAAATAATTCCGAAAATGGGCGATTATTAGTACGCTACTGGACACCACATTATTTTAGTATTTTTTTTTTCATTGAAAATAAACCAGGATATCGTGGGGTATATCAAACAGCAGCATAAGATACAAGATTTATTTTACAGGATGGTTCAGGTGCTTAAAAGTTGAAAAAAGTGGAGGTTATGAAAAAAAGTCGATATTTTTAAAACCAAGGCAGGTATAAAAAATTTGAGAAATTACTTTTTTTGCAGAAGATCATTGATTAAAACGCCGCATAGAAATAAAATTTAAAAAATTATCTGAGAAAGTTACACACATTCAAAATTGGGATGAAAATCATGGACTCTTTTAACACCCTGTATAAAAAAAAATTAGACATTTAAAAAAAATTCTAAATAGCAGTTTTTTTCACAAAAAGTCAATCTCTCAGCCCGTGAAAACCGCAGGTCGATATCGATTCTGGTTCCAAAAATATCGATCTTGAAAGTTAGGCAATATTTACCTTGTTCGAAAGCAATTGTCCAGCAGTTTACTTTGATAGGTAGATACCGAAGGGTTTACAGAAGATCGTACAGGCATGCCAAGTGGATTTACTTTCAGAATAAGATAAATAATCAATGAAATCTCACAATTCCAAAAATTGGAATTGTGAGATTTGACATTTTGTTCTCCTTTATTTAAAAATGAACTCAGATTTGCTATCATTTCAACCTTTAAGATAAATAATTCTTCTAATAGATCATCGTATATTCTAGCACATGCAGCCCTTATACTCTCTTTGAATTCTTCTAATGTCTCTGGACTCTGGTATTTTTGTAAACTCCATAATGAAAATCACTGTACTCTTCCTTATTTAACAATTATTATAAAATGAATAAATAATAGAGAAATGCTTTGACGGGTTGCACAGCTCTCAATTGCATTTTTTTCAAGGCACTCTTTGATAAAATTTATTTATATTGCATATCAGTGATGCCAACCTGAATTTGTGAAATTACAATAATATGTAATTAGTTTAGTTTCAAGTAATTATTTTAATTATTGTTCATATTTAGATAATTATAAGTGTTCATACAAATTACATTGTTAATTTTGTTCTAGATGATAAAGGAAAAAATTCCTTGTAAGACCATCTTTGTTAGAAATAACGAATTTCAGAGGGCCTAATCAAGGTAAAATTTTGGTAAAAATCACTGATGATCACCTTTTAGAGCAGAAACGTTGGCCAATCATGCTTTAGAGGTATATCGCTGAAAAGGGAATAAAGGGAGCTTTCTAAAAATTACATAAAAAATCCAGGTCCGTATTTAAAAAAATGAAGTTGATGATGGTAGCTCGATCACGAAACGTCGGATTTGAAATTTGAAAATGCCATGTTGTAAAGCGAAAAAAATTATAAGACTTTCAAATTTAAATTGAGCCCCGAAAATCAATAGTTATCGGAATAATTGATAAAATATTTTTAGGCGTTTCTTAGAAATCACCCTGTATTTCATGAACTAGAAAGAATTTGGCAACACTGTAAACAAGTCTTGAATAAGCATCAAAAAAGGCAACTTTTTTCTAATTTAACCGACCTCGTACCTCTTACCGTTTCAGAGATAGCAATAGTGGTATCACTTAAAACAGACACCCTGTATAGGGTGGTCCATTTAACTTGAGACAGTCTTATATCTCGAAAACGGTCCGTTTTTGAAAAAAAAAGTTCAAATAAAAGTTACATGGTATCATAGGGGAAACAAAATGGCGGTACTGATTTTTGACTTTGACAACGTTTTCAAGGTTATTTCAAGGTCAACTCTTTTTTTTTTCAAAGGAAACATATTTTTTTATTACAGAATCTTATTCTACAGAAAAAAAAACAAGTAACTTTTACTTGAAGCATTTTTCGTTCCGGTTTCAATTTAAGCTGATAAAAAAGAACGATTTTTTTTCCTCCTCACAAATTCGAAAATTAGAGAAAGGTTACCAAAAATACCTCAAAAAATATAACAATTGATCAAATTGACGACCGCCAACTTCAACACACTTGTTAATTCGCTGTAAAAAGCTTTCATGGCACCAAATTACAGTTTCTTTACTGACAGCTCTAAGCATTTCTTATGTGTTCCATCATATTATCCGGTCTTGTGGGAACCTCTTGATAAACTATGTGTTTGATTTTTAAAATGAATTGACAAGTGTGTTGAAGTTGGCGATCGTCATTTTGATCAATTGTTATAGTTTTCGAGGTATTTTTGGTAACCTTTCTCTACTACTGTTCGATTATGTGAGGAAGAAACAAAAAAATTATTCGTTCTTTTTTATCAGCTTAAATTGAAACCAGATCGAAAAATGCTTCAAGTAAAAGTTACTTGTTTCTTTCTGTAGAATAAGATTCTCGAATAAAAAAAATACATTTTCATTGAAAAAAAAAGAGTTGACGTTGAAATAACCTTGAAAACGTTGTTAAAGTCAAAAATCAGTGCCGCCATTTTGTTTTTCCCATGATACCATGTAACTTTTATTTGAACTTTTTTTTTCAAAAACGCACCGTTTTCGAGATATTAGACTGTCTCAAGTTAAATGGACCACCCTATATAGGCATGCTGATTCCAGTTGTCCTAACATAATGCTATCTGCTATGTCCGTCATGTTTTTTATCAAATGAACAATGGATTGAGAGATTTTCAGCTGTCATGAAACTCTTTCATCGCGATTAATTTTTTACACATTCAAAGGTGCGTGGGGGTAGCTTGTCCCGCTACCTCACTTGCTGACTCGAGTATAGTTAGTTATATACATCACAAATACAAACTTATATTAAATTTTCAGCTTTCATGAAACTCTTGCACTTTTTTGGCGCTGGCTCTCCGACTATAAAGTAAGTTTATTTTTTAACAAAAAGTATGTATGATGTATTTGTTATTATTTTAGGTAAGTATTGAGGTTGTGCTGGTATCATTCTTACTTTTCAATATAAATACCTATACCTAATATATAAGTAGCAGGCAGAATTAGGGCCGAATTCTTAAGAAGAGGATTGGCTAATCTTTTCGCCAGTAAATTGTCTATACATTATACATTGTACGTGAACTGGCCAAAAAAATTATTTCAAAATAAGGGATTTGCAAAATCGAGCATATTCTAAAAGGTTTGATTTTTTGATTGATTAATTAGTTTGTTTTTTCTAAGTCCTGACTGGTGAAGAGGTGACGGACAAAGGTGGTGATGAGATGGCTTATTTATTCAAATCAACGCCTCAAGCAGAAATTCCGAAAAAATTGGATTTTGTTATGTTTGAGGACTTATAACGACACTATTCCATTAAGGCGGCGTAACAGATCCTTTTTGAATAACGTCACGTGTAACCTTGAAAACAGAGATGTGACGAAACTGGGATGTTTTTTTTGCTTAGTGGGAAGTACCTTCTCGTGCGCAATATTGTTAACATTTTTCTTGTTACACCAACTTTCCGGCATGGGTTTTTCATATACGCTCCTAGACTTTGCAGGCATTAGGCCAGCAACTACATTATCAGCCAAATTTTCAATTTCTGGGGGGTACATAGTGGGGTAGGGGAGAGTGGGTAACAGTGGATCAATTTTTTTTCTAACCCATACAGTTCCAAAACTTATCGCTAAATCACTGTTCTCTCAAATTAGTTGAAGGAAGAGTATATAAGCCTTGAAAGAAAAAATAATTTGATGGCGAATATATCATAAATTTTCAACATATAGCCTTTGAAATGAAAGTTCGTAAAAGATCCAATGTGCCCCACGAGTGGGTCAGTTCGGATCGGTGCACGGGGAACAGTGAATCAACTGGGGCACACTGGATCTATGGAAATAAAAACAGTGAAAGATTATTTTTTTCATACAACTCATTTATTTCTATCCGCCCAAATACAAAACGTAACTAGCTACATAAAAAATATTCAAACTCAGTCGTAAACTCTTCATTATTACTACGGATTTGGAATAACATAACGTTAGAATATTTTAAAAAACAACAAATTAAAAACAAAAATAATTCTCTGGAACCCTAAACCTTTAAAAAAAAAACAATCATTTGTTAAACTTAAAAACTCAAGATCAAGTTTATGTTATTAACGTAAATTGATATTAGAAAAGTCGAGATTGAAATGGTACATGCCTTGTTTTCTTTTTGTATTTCCAGAAAGCTTGGGTTGCGGTAAAATCATCTTTATATCTTTCAGTGCAACCATCGCAATATCTAGCACGTTTGGCATAAAAAAAGTATTTAGTGTTTTGGCAGATTTTCTGAGAAAACTAACCTCGGCTTCATGTTCCTTTTCTCCTATAACTTTAGCTGCATAATAAATTTTTTTCCCTTTTACCTCAAATTCAACAATAACAAAGCTTCCTTCTTTTGGTAGACTTTCCAGAACAGTAAAATCCTTGCAATCCACTGTCTCATATTCATCTTCTTCCTCAAACGAATCTTCTTCTGAATAAACACTAATTTGCTCATCATCTTCGCTCGAGCTGTCTTGTAAAATTTTTCTTTTCGTTTTTTTTGCAGCCATTTTTGTCAGTGTGCGTTTCTTTGCTTCCCTCTCTTCTATCTCTTGTTTGTTTGGTGTGTCAGTTGCAATAATCGATTTTCCTTTACGTCTTGGTGCTTTTCCTCCTTTTCGCGGACCTGCTTTAGGCAACCCTCGAAATTCGAATGGGCTCACAAATTTTTTTTCAGAATTTGTGGATGTAACGGTAGCAGCTAAAGCCATGGCCATGACCGGAGTTTGCGGCTTTGCCTCTGTAACAATATTCTCGCTTGCAATATCTGGATGTATTAGAAGCGCATTAGCAGATGAACTGGAAGTGCTAGCCATATCACGTTGTTTAATAATTTGTTCAGTTGGAGTGCAAGAAGTCTCTCGTACTAAAGGCGATGGAGTTCTTGTTCTGTTACTATCATCAACGCGTGCATTATGGTTTTCTGGTAGATTGCATTGGTTTGGTTCATTTTCCAGATTCATTTGTCGATCAGTAACCTCACTAGGCGCAAAGTCTAAATCACTAAAGACGTCTCTGTTGAAGGGGAAAATTCCTGTCGCTTTGAAAGCCGCGCAAATATTTCCGGGTGTCATAGCTCTCATGTGGGCCTCCCTAACGCATCCAGCCACTTCATATATTGAGTAAGTTTGCCCAGGATTTCGCATCATCCAGCTGTCAACTGCCTTATTATATGCAATTTTGAATGGTCCAAAAATTCCGACATCTAGAGGTTGAAGTTTCCCGGTTGAATGCGGCGGCACTGTTAAAATGGTCACACCATTTTGTTTTGCTAGATTCAAGGCTTCTATACAAATGTGCGACTCGTGATTATCGTATATGAGCAGACTTGGGTTTTCTTTACTGCTGTTTGTGTGTGTTATGAAATGCTGCATAGTTGCTACAAATAATTCTGAGTTCATCCAGCCAGACTGTGTAGCTAGGCCTAAGGTTCCAGCCGGAGCGTCCGCGATCATATGTTGCTTGAAATGCACTCTAGGAAATATCATTACTGGTGGCAATGCATTCCCCAAAGCGCTAATTATATAACAAGTTGTTACTAACGTCCCTCGTTCTGCGCTGGTGACCTTGGAGACTTGCCTTTGTCCTTTGGCAGCTAGCACTTTGCCAGATTTCTGAACCGTCATAGTATTTGTTTCATCTAGATTATATACTCTAGTCCCATTGCCAAAGACTGCCTGTCTAGACATAACAGTTTCTAAATTATTGAAGAATATATCCACATTGTGGCGGTTAAAAGATGTCGCTCTACTTAAGCTGCACCCCTCAGGGGTTCGCAAAGATAATCGATTATCCCTTTTTCTGAGATTATATAAATACTCAATACCAGCAAGCTTCGTTTCGTGCCATTTTTCTGGTACTTTTATATTGTTCAGCACTCCTACTTCGTAAATTAGGCGTCGAACGTCCATAATTGTGAGTCCATAGAACATTTGGCTGCATTTGATAACATAATCTACAATACTTTTTTCTTGCGCATCTGTGAATATCTTGCGAACTGCGTAATTAGGTGTAAGCCTAATTATCCTATCAGGATCATGGTTATTCCGAATTTTGTTTAAATACCTGTTTAAAGTTGTGTATGGGATATGAGTGGTTCTTGCAACAGCCCTTATTTTCTGACCATCCGATATAAGTCTTAGAGCGTTTTGCATCTGTTGTTCGGTGTGAAGTCCGATAGTAGTTTTTCTTTCCCTGTTGCGAGGCATTTTCGCCTATCAAAAAGTAAGTATAAGTTGAGTTATAGCTTACCGGGTCACAGTGGATCATTGTGGGTTACAATGGATCACTGATCCACTGAACCCCAAAACAAAATGATTCGCTGTGACCCAATGGCAGTTATTTTTAAAAAAAATCTACACAAAAAAAACGAACACTACTAAATAAAAAACAACATAGTTTACAACTGATATAAACAGTACCAAGCATACCACTGCACCCAAATACCCAGAATTATTACTCAGTTGAATGCAACACAAATTTTCGGAACACGTGATAAAAAAGATTCGTACTTGCCTGTTGCCCAGAGCGACGTAGAACGTCCTAACCCTTCGATATCGTGACAGCGACTAGATGGGCTGAAGGGAAATAATTAAAAGGAACAAACGACAGTAGTTTCCCGCGCATACGCCAAAAGTATGTAAAGCTATGGTAGATGATTCATTGTGCCCCGTGATCCACTGTTACCCACTCTCCCCTACATCCATCTATAGAATCATTCATTATTCACTGTTTGATGAACATTTCAGTGCATTTAACTTTGACGATAGCTATTTTCGGGTTCGAAAAAAGGTCGGTTCTAGAACGGTTCAAAACAATCGCACAGTTTTTTAATGAAATTTGTGATAGCTAAGCCGTTGTCATTTTGTTGATTGTTGAACTGTGCGATTGTTTTGAACCGTTCTAGAACTGTCCTTTTTTCGAACCCGAAAATAGCTAATATGACAATTATTGATGACAATACAAACAAGCAATTCCGTTGTTAAATACTTAAAAGAGCCTCCTTCAATTATTTCCGATAAACTCAAATGCAACAGAAAAATGTATTGACTATAATCGCCGGAATATAAAATATATTGTATGGAATTCGGATCATAAATATTCATTATGGCACACGCCGTGTTATCAGACTCGGCTGACGCCTCGGCTGATAATATTGACGGCTATAGTACCATAATGATCGTCATTATGATCCTTATAACATAAATATCTAATAAAATTACTGAAGTTATAAGTGATAGACGTCTACTAAGTACTTACCTTTATTGTTATGCGTTCAATAATGATGTCATTTTTAAATGTCAAAATGGGATAATAGATACCTATTTAAACAATTAAACATCATGAATTATTTGAGTTATGAATTAAAATAACGGCCGGGACAATGGACAATCTAAGGCCGGGACTATCCAATTCCTCAATTTTTAGAGTTTATTATTAATTGAGGAATTAATTGGGACATCTCGGGCAAATTTTTCGACCGGCTAGAAAAGTATTTTTGAGCGTTTTCAGTTTCAAACAACTTGAAATATCATAAGAAATGTAATCGTATGTAAATTAATGATACAGTCACCGGATACCAAAAAAATCAAACCCTTTTAAATATAATTAATGAATATCACTTAAAACTTACCTTTAAAAAACCAAAACAAATTGCGTAATGCTACAAACTGAACAAAATGCTCACCAATAATAATTTAACATACGTTTTCGATTCAAATTTTGAACTTGGCCTGATTTTGAAAAAGTATGGATCTGTATTTATTATTTCTTTCATCAACTTTTAAAACAGATCGATGATTAAAACATACAAATGAAACAAAATAAGTTTGTCTATAATATAATGTACGTAAATCCTTCGACTATTCCACTATATCCCGACCGGGCTCGATGCCAAACTCAGCCAAACTTCCCGTATTTTCAATGGCACGGCATTTTAAAACTAAACCCATTCATTACATTACCCGTTAAACATGCGCCAATCTGTATAGTATATGTTTCAAGGATTACTTTTGAGGCTTACCTCGTAAAAAACTCCAAGGTTACATAATTATACCAACTGGGTCAGTGGCCCAGTGAATTTAATGAAGACAAAGAAACGATGATACCTAAGAAATATTTTTTTTTTAAATGATGAACACCGACTTCAAGATATAGCAGGTACCTAAAATACTATTGATGCCCTCTTTCTTTGTAAGTATGAAGAGGATATAGGTACCTAATATCTTATAGGTACCTATCTTATAGAAAATAAGATGAGAAACTAAAATGGAACAAAAAAATCCAACTCCAGTTAATAAAAAAATTAAATAAAAAATAGAATGAGAAAGAGAAATAATTACCTATGCAAAAGTCAAAAGAATAACAATAATAATAACAATGAATAATAATGATACCTATGAGCTAAACTTTTAGTGAAATGGAAAAGAATAGTAAATTGTTGTTAAAAACATCTAAGCTCAAGTTTTTCCAGACAAAAGAAATTATTGAGCCTGAAATTTGAGATTTTTCATAGCCAAGAAACAAAACAACTTTAGTTTTGAATGGTGCAAAATTTGATGCAACGTGCAACTTACCAAGAATTGCTCTATTTTTATAAGGCAATTTTTCTCTAAAAAAAAAATCATTATTGTAAGGAGTTTTCTAACTTTGTGCAGAAAAAAGGATTCATGTTTAAGCAATAAAAATACTTAGATACACCTAAATAAAATATAAAAATCCTCTTCTATATGATAGCACAAAGTCCAGCTCACATCCGCCAAACAATCAGGAAACTTAGAAATATTTTTCCCTTTAACAGATGTCACTACTGTTATAATAAATCCTGAACGCGAATAGCGTGACATCTATACGTCATTTCAAGTATCTCGATTTCAAGTACTGCACTCCGATCATAGAAGACTGCACTGTTATAGTACTGTAGTTGTTAGGTAAATATCTATTAATTTATTTAAACAGATGTCAC